GACAGTCTCATTCTCTTGCCCTGGTTAGAGTGCTGTGGCCTCATAGCTCACAGCACTCTCAAACTTTGGGGCTCCAGCGATCCTCTTGCCTCAGCCTCCCAAGGAGCTGGGACTATGTTTTTTTGTTTTTAATGTGGCTGAAGTATGGTTTATATGAAAGGAAATAAGGTTAAGGGATTTCAGTGTATTCATTATTTGCTGTGGGAACAACCCTTTATTGATTACGATGGGTGAACTGGTAGCAGTGTGGAAGGGGCTTGGAATGGACAGTGGGGTGGCAGTGAGATCATTGGGGGTTACAGTTACAGAAATCCAGCAATGCTGAAGGCTCAATGACACAGTGACGGGTTGAAGTGTTAAACTTTTACGAGGTAGAATAGGGCAATGTGGATGGCTGAGGGAAGGCAGGAATAAGGGATAGGGAAGAGCTAGAGTGAATGGGTGAGGTTCTTAGCTGGAGAGCCTGGTAGAGTTTGTTAATTGAAATCCAGAAGTATCCCCATCAAGATGTATCTATCACCACCTGTTCCTGGTTCTTATTAAATTGTTCAAGTTGTTTCACCTGTCCAAAGAATTGCTTGGATAAAATTTGCTTCACTTTTTTTTTTCTTTTTTTTTTTTTTTTTTTTGGCAGTTTTTGGCTGGGGCCGGGTTTGAACCTGCCACCTCTGGCATATGGGGGCAGCACCCTACTCCTTTGAGCCACAGGCGCTGCCCCAAAATTTGCTTCACTTTTAACTCTATTGTGATACAGTGAACTAGTTTGGTTTCCCAGTAAGAAATACAGAAATGCCTTTTTATAGAAATTTTTTATTTCATTGTTTTTGTCTTTAGTTTAAACAGCATATTTGGTAAAATGGAGTCTTGAGTTCTTACATTTTAAAAAAGCTGTTTCTGGTTTGGCACCCTATAGTACAGCGACTATGGCACTAGCCACATAGACTGAGGGTGGTGGGTTTGAAACCAGCCTGGGCCGGCTAAAAAGTGACAACTGCAACAAAAAATAGCCAGGCGTTGTGGCAGGTCCCTGTAGTCCCAACTACCTGGGAGGTTGAGGTAAGAGAATCACTTAAACCCAAGAGTTTGAGGGTGCTGTGAGCTGTGGCACCACAGCTCTCTACCAAAGGTGACATATGACAGACATATGTCTGTCTCAAAAAAAAAAAAGTTGTTTTCTTAAGATTTAAAGAAAACAAAATGACTTACATACCTTTTGAGAGCAGAGGAAACTGCTATGTGACTTTTTTCTTAACTGTTGGAGATACATCAAGGGTACAAAGAACCAGGTTACATTGATTGCATTTGTTAAGTAAGTCTCTTAGAATTTTGTCCCACCCCCAAAAGGTGTGTCACACACCATGACCCCCCACCCCCTTCCCTCTCTCTGCTCTCCTCTTTCCCCACCCCCCACCATGTACTTGTTCCAAAATTGTCCTCATATGAGAATTGAGTACATAGGATTCTTGCTTCTCCATTTTTGTAGTGCTTTACTAAAAATGTGTTCCACTTCCGTTCATGTTAATACAAAGGTGTAAAGTTTCCATCTTTTCTAATGGCCTGTGTGACTTCTTGAGTGTCCTATACTGACTTAAGTCTGCATAATTACACTGCTTAATTACACTATTATGTTTAATAACTGAAGCTCATCTCAGTGCTCCGCTTAACTCATGGTCCATGCTCAGTTAAAATACAAGCTATTACAAAGTATTTTAATTTTTGTAAAATATCCACCACCCTCACTCAGCAACTTGACTAGTGTGGTGGTAGTAGAGCTAAGTTCAGAGAAAGTCTGCCTAATGGGTTATGTACTGAAGGATACTCTGGAGAAACCAGGGTTCTTGTCTTCCTGAACATTCCGTATGGGATGGGATGGCAATTGCAGATAAAAAATTAATAAAATGCCAAAAGTAGTACGCACATGTGAGACTTCTTTGCTGTGTCTCTGACTTTATCTTAAGTCTATTTCTCCATTGGTCTCTCTGTATATTTATTCTTTTTTTCTTTTTCCCCCCTTCCCACCCTGCCTCACTTCCTTCTTTTTCTTATTTAATTGGTGGTTTGGAGTTAGAAAGCAGAAAATTGCTTCAGATGCTCTATTTGTAATCTCTGTCTCCTTGCTTCATGATCTTAAGCTTTAAAATTGCTGCAGGTAAACAGAAAAACTGCCAGGTCAGGACTAATGACTGGACATGTGTTCTTTCTTTCTTTCCTACTTGCCCTTTGCAAAGAGAACACACATGGGAAGCAAGCAATCTATACGCTGCAAGGTAGCTGATAAGCGCAAGCTAGACAAAAACAACTAGCTCCTTACCTTGATTTTGATGGCATCACTGGGCTAGAAATCTAACCCTTTTCCTAAACTTTGGTGCTAACTAGTGTTTAATTTATTGTACATTGCAGATTAATGAGTGTGAAAAGAAAAAGAAGGAAGACTATGAGAGTCAAAGCAATCCTGTTTTTAGGAGATACTTAAATAAGATTTTAATTGAAGCTGGAAAGCTGGGACTTGTAAGTATTTGACAGTGTGTCATTAATCCATATAGTAGGTACATCATTATTTCAAATTATATAAAGCATCAATATGCTTTCACAGAGACTACCTGCCTCAGTTTCCCCCCACCCCCCAAGAGCTGTGCAGGTAGGACTGAAGGTACTGGCCCCCTTGGCAGGGGTTTGGAGGAGGCCAGCAGTGCAGACCGCTCTTCTTTTTCTCACAGTTTGTGGGGATTTACTTGTCAGCCCGGTGCACTGCTGTTGTTTTCTACCATTTCCACACTTTCTTAGTCATATAATGTAAGATTGTACATTCAGGAAAAGAGAAATGTGTTTTATGTAGTTTTTTTCTCCTTGCTGTTTACTGTGGCAAGTATTGTTTTATACAATTGTGCATCACATGCCTATTGATTATAATTGATATTTAAAATTTCCGTTTTTTAGAGTTATTTTTACTTTGGGGAATGAAAGCTTCAAGAAAATTATAATTTAGTAACTTATAACATTTATAAAGCTTATTTAAAAGCTCGTAGATTTTTTTTTCCCCCTATTGTGTATGCTACCAGAATTGGTCTAGAGAGTCAGACGCTAGGCTTTTGTTTTGGTCTGGCCATTAGCCCCACCCACCAGAAGCTGTCACAGATCCCTGAAAACGAAAGGCTCTTGCCTCAAAAGAAGGCAGGTTGGCCGAACTTGGTAGATTCCATCTTTCCAGGAGAGTAAGAAATGACCAAAAGGGAAAGGAGTATTAGATGGGTAATTTAAGAGACCAGTTTATTCTATAAGTGTAAAGCAGATGTTCTCATATGGACAGCCTCTGATTTCAGTCTTTTTTTTTTTTTTTTTTTTTTTTTTTTGAGACAGAGCCTCAAGCTATCCCCCTGGGTAGAGTGCCATGGCATTACAGCTCACAGCAACCTCCAACTCCTGGGCTCAAGCGAGTCTCCTGCCTCAGCCTCCCAAGTAGCTGGGACCACAGGCGCCCACCACAACGCCCGGCTATTTTTTGGTTGCAGCCATCATTGTTGTTTGGCGGGTCCGGGCTGGGGATTCGAACCCGCCACCTTAGGTGTACGTGGCTGGCGCCTTAGCCGGTTGAGCTATAGGCGCCGAGCCGTCTGATTTCAGTCTTATAGCTGTGTGCAAGGTGGAACATAACCTCGATGAGGGTACAGGTGGAGCCAAAACTACATTTTTTTTTTTTTTAAAGATAGTAATTCACTCTGTTGCCCAGGCTAGAGGGCTAGAGTGCTGTGGCATCAGCGTAGCTCATAGCAACCTCAAACTCCTGGGTTTAAGTGATCCTCCTGCCTCAGCTCCCTGAGTAACTGGAATTATATGCACTTGCCCCAGTGCCCGGCTAATTTTTTTTTTTTTTTTTTTTTAGTAGGTACAGGGTCTCCCTCGTGCTCAGGCTGGTCTTGAACTCCTGAACTCAAGGATCCTTCTGCTTTGAGCTCTTAGAGTGCTAGGATTACAGGCATCAGCCACTCTGGCTGGAAATGGAAATGTTTGGAAATACTAGGTTCCTGATTTTAAAAAGATGTTTATCAGTATTAATCAATGATGCTTACTGATATTATGTGACATTTTTGTTTTTCCCATTTTATATTTTTTTATATCTATATTTACTCTTAGAAAAAGGAATTTTTTCTTTATATGAACTGATTAATGAATGTAAAGTGTTGTTTACAGTGATTTTGCTGGGTGAATTCAACGCTAATAAAGATACTTACAGGTACCATGTATTCATGGAAACCCATTTTTTTGTTACTTTTTGAGATCACTTTTATTTTTCTTTGTTTGATCTATTCCACATAGTAGGCTGTCTGAACTGGCAGCAGATACTTACAGGTACCATGTATTCATGGAAACCCATTTTTTTGTTACTTTTTGAGATCACTTTTATTTTTCTTTGTTTGATCTATTCCACATTGTAGGCTGTCTGAACTGGCAGCAAGCAAAAAGTCAAAAAGCGAATCATAAAATAAAGATAGACAGTTGATCCTCATTATTTGCAGATTCCAGATTTGTGCATTTACCTGCTGATTAAAGTTTATTTGTAACCACACAGTCAAAATACTCAGGGTGTTTTCCTGGTCACTCTGGGACATGTGCAGAGTGTTAAAAATGTGAGTTGCCTAGTACGGTAGCTGAGGGTGGAACAAAGCGGCAGAAACTCGCTCTTGTTTCGTCTTTCATACTAAAAAGTGTCCTTCTTGTGGTCTATTTAGTACTTTATGTTTGCCACTTTTGCTGGGGTGGGGTGTGGATGGTGACTTTGTTTAAATAGCCACCAAGAGAAGTGCTGAACTGTCATGTAGTGTTTTTTTTTTTTTTTTCTCCTCAAAGGACCTAGATTAATATGGCACCTAGTGTTTCTAAATGTTAAGGTTGTAACGTACCTTACAAAGAAAATATATGTTTATATTAAATGTATATATTCTAATATACTCTGAAATATATATCTTTTATATATATATTTATAAAATACAGATCCTTCTCAGACAGAAGGACCACTTAAATGCAAAAGTTTGAGGTTGCTGTGAGCTATCATGCTGCAGCACTCTATCCAAGGGAAGACTTCATATATATAAAGTCTATAAAGTATAGATATCTTATAGAGTATAAATATATATAGAGAAAGTCTTGCATTGGGTAGAGTGCAGTGGCATCATAGCTCACAGCAACCGTATTTTATAGATTTTACATAAATGGAGTCTTCCCTTGGGTAGAGTGCTGTGGCATAATAGCTCACAGCAACCTCAAACTTTTGTGTTTAAGTGATCCTTCTGTCTGAGCCTCCCAAGTAGCTGGGACTACAGGTGCTCACAACAATGTCCCAGCTAGTTTTTATTTTTTAATTTTTTTGAGACAGTCTCACTATGTCACCCTACGTAGAGTGCCATGGTGTCATAGATCACAGCAATGGCTAACTCTGAGGCTTAAGCCTTGCCTCAGCCTCCTAAGTAGCTGGGGCTACAGGCTCCTGCCACAACACCTGGCTATTTTTTGGGGGGAGGGGGCAGTAAAATCACTGTAAACAACATTTTACAGTCATTAACCAGTTCATAATCAGTAAGCATCATTGATTAATACTGATAAACATCTACTTTGTTTGGCAGGCCCAGACTGGGTTCAAACCCTCGCAGCTCCAGTGTATGTGGCTGGCACTCTAGCCACTGAGCTACAAGCTCTGAGCCCCTGGCTAGTTTTTCTATTTTAGATAGAGAACAGGAGTCGGAGGGGTGTCTCACTCTTGCTCAAGTTGGTCTTTTTTTTTTTTTTTGAGACGGAGCCTCAAGCTATCCCCCTGGGTAGAGTGCCATGGCTTCACGCTCACAGCAGCCTCCAACTCTTGGGCTCAAGTGAGTCTCCTGCCTCAGCCTCCCAAGTAGCTGGGACCACAGGCGCCCACCACAACGCCCGGCTATTTTTTGGTTGCAGCCATCATTGTTTGGCAGGCCCGGGCTGGGGATTCGAACCCGCCACCTTAGGTGTATGTGGCTGGCGCCTTAGCTGCTTGAGCCACAGGCACCGAGCCGCTCAGGTTGGTCTTAAACTCTTAATCTCAGGCAGTCTACCTGCGTTGGCCTCCCAAAGTGCTAGGATTATAGGTGTGAGCCACTGCACCTGGCCAAAAGAAAGTATTTTTCTGTTAGATAGGCTTCATTCAGGTCTGAGGTATAGGACCATGGTCTATAGGTCTGAGGTTGGCCATGTGGTCATTGTAATTGAATCAACAGTAAGGTGTCCTTAAACAGAAACATATAGAACATGCATAAAACACAAGGTTATGTATTGATCAACTGATGAAAGGAGTATGACCAGAGATTTGCAGGGGCCAAACCCTGTATTACCTGTGGGAGGAACAATTCAGTACTTGGTAATTAGGGTCCGAGTGACTTAATAGAATGTAACTACTGCAAATAACAAGAATTGGTGGCGCCTGTGTCTCAAGGAGTAGGGTGCCAGCCCCATATGCCAGAGGTGGTGGGTTCAAACCCAGCCCTGGTCAAAAACTGCAAAAGAAAATAATAATAATAAAATAACAAGAATCAACTCTATTTTAATAAAATTTATAGTCACTTTTTTTTTTTTTTTTTGAGAGAGAGTCTCACTATGTCGTCCTTGGTAGAGTGCTATGGCGTCACAGCTCATAGCAACCTCAAACTCCTGGGCTTAAGCAATTCTCTTGCCTCAGCCTCCCACGTAGCTGGGACTACAGGCACCTGCCACAACGCCTGGCTATTTTTTGGTTGTATTTGTCATTGTTGTTTGGCAGGCCTAGGCTGGATTCTAACCTGCTGCCTCTGGTGTTGTGTGGCTGGCGTCCTAGCCGCTTGAGCTACAGGTACAGAGCTAATTTATAGTCATTTTAAATTTTTTTCACATATATCATCTTTGGTTTTCATGTTGGCCAGTGAGACAGACAGGTAGGTATTATTCTTACATGTATGAAATATTGCAGACTAGTTATATATTCAGTTCCAAATTGACTTTTGCCTTAATATGTTTTGCTGAGTAATCATAAAGTTCTCTTTGTTTGGTTTTGTTTAAATTTAGCCTGATGAAGACAAAGGTGATATGCATTATGATGCTGAGATAATCCTTAAAAGACAAACCTTGTTAGAAATACAGAAGTTTCTCAGTGGAGAAGACTGGAAGTCAGGTGCCTTGGATGATGCGCTAAGTGATATTTTAATTAATTTTAAGTTTCATGATTTTGAAACATGGAAATGGCGATTTGAAGATTTCTTTGGAGTGGATCCGTATGATGTGTTCATGGTAAGATGGGATGAGGGTGACATGGTTAAGTTTCCTTTTTAAAATACTTTCAGAACTCCATCATATCATGTTAAAACCTGTACTAGGTCACTCATACATTATTGGTGAATAAACAGAAGTGAAAGTGTTGTTGTGTATTTGAGTCCAGCTCTTTGAGTGATGACTAGTGTTTTATGGTGGGAGGACAGCGTGGTAGTGACTGATTTCTGCTTTTTTTTTTTTTTTTTTTTTTAGGTACTTCTGTGTCTGCTCTGCATCGTGATGTTAGTAGCTACTGAGCTGTGGACATACGTACGTTGGTACACCCAGTTGAGACGTGTTTTAATCATCAGTTTTCTCATCAGTTTGGGATGGAATTGGATGTATTTATATAAGGTATTAAATACATGGAGGGCTTTGACAAGTTAAAGCATTAATTATAATTAAAGAAGACTATAACCCATGTAGAACAATCTTTTTAGTAACCTTTTCCCTCCTCATCATAATTTCACAAAGAAGGCAATTGTAGTTCTTATACCTTACTGGTGTGTTAAGACTATACTTTTCCGTGAGCTGAAAATATGTGCTCTTTAAAAAAATTATAGTTTTTCTCTATTAAAAATTTTTAAACAGGGCGGGTGTGGTGGCTCACGTCTGTAATCCTAGCACTCTGGGAGGCCAAGGCACATGGATTGCCTGAGCTCACGGGTTTGAGAGCCCAGACTGAGCCCAGAGCAAGACATTGTCTCAAACGCGCCGGGTGTTGTGGTGGGCACTTGTGGTTCCAGCTTCTTGGGAAGCTGATGCAAGAGAATCATGTAAGCCCAAGGGTTTGAGGTTGCTATGAGCTGTGGTGCCACGGCACTCTACCAAGGGCTGCAAAGTGAGACTATCTCAAAAGAGAAAAAAGACGAATTAAAAAAATATAAAAATTTTGAAACAGTCTGGCTTAGATGAGTAGTAAAGATGCACTGAACCCAGGTTTTTGGATGTGTCGGCGTAACCTTCATTAACACCCTCTCTTGGTCCCCTTTTCGGTGTTTGTCAGCTAGCTTTTGCACAGCATCAGGCCGAAGTTGCCAAGATGGATCCAAAAAATGTGTGTGCTGAAAAGATGAATTGGACTGGAAGTATTTGGGGTAAGGTGTTTGTTCGCTTGGCCTTATTTTAATAGTTTTTATTTTATTTTGTTTTTTTTTGAGACAGAATTTTTGTCACCCTTGATAGAGTCCTGTGACATCATAGCTCACAGCAACTTCAAACTCCTGGGCTTAAGTGATTTTCTTACCTCAGCCTCCCAAGTAGGTGAGACTACAGGTGCCCGCGACAATGCCTGGTTATTTTGAGATGAAGTCTCGCTCTGGCTGGTCTTGAACCTGTGAACTCAGGCAATCCACTCACTTCGTCTCCCAAGTGTTGGGATTACAGGCGTCAGCCACCACACTCAGCCCTGAATAGAATTTCTGAGAATGAGAACATAGTAATATTACATAGAAGATGATAAGATGCCAGAAGAGGCTATGGTGGAATCTTTAATATCAGAAGGACATGCAAGAAGCGTTAATAGGTTTAAAACCAGTGACTTTTTGTGTTCATATAAAGTCACAGGGAAGGATTAGAAATTGCATATATGTTGGCTCTCATATTATCTGTATTCCTCCATTGGAAGGATCTTGTGCTCACTTCTGTTCTTCTAGTCCTTAGCACAGTGTCTAGCACATTCTAGGTCCTCAGCAGAAGTTAATTAAAGAAGTGGATAAATGTATTATGTACACTATATAACCTCTAAGTTGACCACCTAAGGGATGGTAATAAACTGGTCAACATATGCAGGTGGTTACCATAAGGATCTAGGCCTCCCATACTGGTACTTGTACATGTCTGGTCTGAGAATTAGGTCAACTTAAAGAGGTGGTCAGTGTAGGGAGGTGGTCAACTATGTAGGTTCTACTGTATAAGAATTAATATCAGGTGGCGCCTGTGGCTCAAGGAGTAGGGCGCTGGCCCCATATGCTGGAGGTGGTGGGTTCCAACCCAGCCCCAGCCAAAAACTGCAAAAAAATAAAAAAATTAATATCCATTTTAGATTAACCCTTCTTATATCAGCCTACCCAAATTTATGCTTTTGCTTTACTATTTTTCAACTAAGGGAAAGATTTTGTTTATTTTCAGATTTTATAAACATTCTCACTAACATTTACTGTTTTTGGTTTATGTCTCTGGCAATGGGAATTGATTTTAAATGAAAATCAACTTAAAATTGATTGGGGGGGGGTAGTCAAGGAAGGCCAAAACCAAAGTCCAAAGTATTGTCTAATTTGGGAGTGAAATGCAACTTTAAAAAAAAAATAATTCAGTGTTTTATCTGTTTCTCTAAATAGAGTGGCTTAGAAGTTCATGGACCTATAAGGATGACCCATGCCAAAAATACTATGAGCTCTTATTAGTCAACCCGATTTGGTTGGTCCCACCAACAAAGGTATATAACATTTTTTTTTAATTACCTATACAGAGTAAGTAAAAAATTCCTTGTATTTTAAGAAATTGTGTGTTTTTAGAGTTTAGAACCTTTGTTCTAGGAAAAATACTTCCATTACACAGTGATTCTCACATTAAAAGTGGCATATAACAGCATTTTAATTTGTGATATCATTTCGGCCTCAGCACCAGTGAATTTTAACTCATTTTGTATGCCTCAATCTTTTGAGGAAAAACTAAGCTGCTTTTATCTCCTATTATAGGCACTGGCAGTTACATTCACCAACTTCGTAACAGAGCCATTGAAGCACATTGGAAAAGGAGCTGGGGAATTTATTAAAGAACTCATGAAGGAGATTCCACTGTTACTTCACGTTCCTGTGCTGATAATTATGGCATTAGCTGTCCTGGTTAGTATATTGGTACTGTCAATATTTAGCAGGATTTACAGAAAAAGACAATTCTAAAATTATTAGGCTTTTTTTTTTTTTTCTGAGACAGAATCTCATTTTGTCACCCTTGGTAAAGTGCTCTGGTGTCATAGCTCACAGCAACCTAAAACTTTTGGGCTCAAGCAATTCTCTTGCCTTAGCCTCTGGAGCATCTGTGACTACTAGATGCCTGCCAGAATGCCTGGCTATTTGTAGAGGTGGGTCTCGCTCTTGCTCAGACTGGTCTCAAACTTGTGAGCTCAGGCAATCCACTAACCTCGGCCTCCCAGAGTGCTAGGATTACAGGCATGAGCCACTGTGCCCAACCCACTCCTAGGCTTCTTTGATGTAAGTTAGGCTAAGTCATGCTTACTAGAATGAGAAGTTTTGTTCTGAGATAGGATCTCTCTGTCACCTCAGCTGGAGTACAGTGGCATGATCATAGATCACTGCAGCCTCAAGTTCTTGGGCTCATGAAATCCTCCTGCCTCAGCCTCTCTGTGATTTGTAAGTGATACAGAATTTTTTTTTTTTTTTAAGACAAAGTCTCACTCTGTCACCCTGGCTAGAGTACCATGGTGTTATAGCTCACAGCAACCTCAAACTCCTAGATTTGAGTGATCCTCTTGCCTCAGCCTCCCAGGTAGCTGAGACTACAGGTGCCCACCACAACGTCTGGCTAATTTTTCTTTTGCTTTCTTTCTTATTTATTTATTTATTTTTTTAGGAGAGATGGGGTCTCACTCCTGCTAAGGCTTGTCTTGAACTTCTGAGCTTAGGTGATCCACTCACCTCAGTCTCCCAGAGTGCTAGGAATACAGGCGTGAGCCACTGTGCCCAGGCTAATACAGATTTTTTATATTTACATGGATGTTATTACTGTAATCAAGGAAGTGGCTCTCTGGTTTGTAGATGTCATAGCAGTAATTTGGAATTATAACCTCTTTTAAAATTCATTCTTTAAACTTGGTGAATTAATATACAGGAAATAGGAAGTTGAGAAAAGGGGCCTTATTTCATTGTGAGTTTTTGCAGCACTGAGAAAGGAAAAACATTGGGTTTAACACAGAATCAGAAAGGGATGTGAGAGAAGGTGGATATACTGAGAAATAGTTTGGGGAATCCAGTAGCAGACATTTATTAAGAAGAAATATTAGGCGGGGCCAGTGGCTCACACCTATGATCCTAGTACTAGGGAGGCCGAGGCAAGTGGATTGCCTGAACTCATGGGTTCTCAGCCTGAGCCAGAGCGAGACTTCATCTCTAAAAGCTGGGCATTGTGGCAGGCACCGATAGTCCCAGCTACTCAAGAGGCTGAGGCAAGAGAATTGCTTGAGCCCAAGAGCCTGAGGTTGCTGTGAGCTATGACACCACCGCACTCTACCAAGGGCAACAAAGTGAGACTATCTCAAAAAAAATAAAAGGAGAAATATTACTTGTCATTTATCCATGGTCTTTTCAGCTTCTTTGTTGTAGATTTCTTACCCAAATAAAGCAGTTGTTGCCTAAAACAAAAAGAACTCAGATGTGCCATGGAAAATTCTTCTTAAGAATACGGAGTTCACTATGCTCTAGTGACTTTGAAATTGTTCCATTTTGATTTTATTTTCTGGCTTGTGATTACAGGATTCAGTGGTTTAAAGGTATGATTTTGGTAGGCAACATCAGTGCTATAATGTAGGTTAGTTTCTGAAACTGAAATTATAAACAAAAGCTCCTTTGTTTCTTTTTGTATCTGCCTCCTAAGAAAAGTTATGCTTTTTGATTTTTGCTGCTTGTTTTCAAAGGGTATGTCTCAGAGATTTTCAACCTTTTTGTCCTCAGGATCCCTTTGCATTCTTAAAAATTGACGACCAAAAAGAGCTTTTATTTTGGGGGATTGTATAGATATATACACACACACACACAGAGGGTGCCAAAAATGTGTACACATTTTAAAGAAGGAAAAAACCATTAAAATTGCAATATTCAAGTCACATGTGACTTCTGCAATTACAAGAGATAAAAGATACAAGATTACAAATGTTATTGTTATATATTATTACAATTTTAGTACAATTTTCCTTTCTTAAAATGTGTGTATATATTTTGGCACCCGTGTGTATATACGTATACACGCACATAAAGGGGGTGTGTGTGTGTGTGTATATATATATGTTGTTTCTTAATTATTTTTTCATTTGAGACAGAGTCTCTGTCACCCTGGGCAGAATGCACAACAGCCTCTGTACATAAGTGCGAGTTATACATAAGTCGGAGGTTTGTAACTCAGGGACTGCCCATATTGATGTTTGTCTCATTAGGAATTACAACTGAGAAATTGGCTCGGCGCCCGTAGCACAGTGGTTATGGGCATGTACACTGAGGGTAGTGGGTTTGAACCTGGCCCTGGCCAACTAAACTGCAACAAAAAAATAGCTTGGCGTTGTGGCCAGCACCTGGAGTCCCAGTTACTGGGGAAACAGAGGCAAGAGAATCGCTTAAGCCCAAGAGTTTGAGATTGCTGTGAGCTGTAATGCCACAACACTCTACCGAGGGCGACATAGTGAGGCTCTGTCTCAAATAATAGTAATAATAAAATAAAACTGAGAAATCAAAAAAATACAGGCACTATATACAGCACACATCCCATGAATCCTCAGAGTGTGGCTGTCACTTTAGCCTCTGGAGGACTCCACTGTACGCTAAGAAGAGAATGAAGAAGACAATGTCTTTGTAGTAACAAAAGTCTTGATCTCACAGATCAACTGGCAGTCTCAGGAATCCTGCCCAGGGGTCCTGAGGCCACACTTGGAGAACTGCTATCTACTTTTTCTCACAGAATAGAATCGAAACCTGTGAATTTTAGTTGTAGCTTAATCCAACTTTGCATTTGTAAAAAGTAAACCTATAGGAAGAATGTTTACATACTAATGTACAGCTTTAGTTTTCAGCCTTTACCTTATATAATAGGTTTGAAAATAGAAACATGAGCAATTATCAGACATGAGCAACTAGAACCTTCTCATTTAAATTTCTAAGCTTTAGCCTGCCATTGTTATAATTCCATCAAAATGTGTCTAGCTGACTAAAGTGTTTACTTAATACTGAATGGTTTATTCAGTTTTATTGGCCACTCTGGCCCTGTATTAATCCGAAGAGGTCTCTAAGTGAAAAAATTCAAATTAACAGGTTAACACTAGTTAAATGACACCATTTTGTTAGTACCCTGAAAAAGCACTTAATATCAGCCAGTAAGTCCTCAGGAAAGTGTATTTCTTTTGCTTACAGAGTTTCTGCTACGGTGCTGGAAAATCAGTTTACATGCTAAGGCATTTAGGTGGTCCTGATAGAGAACCTTCCCGGGCACTTCAATCAGGTGACCGAAGACGGGAGAAGGAAATCGATTATAGACCCCATGGTGGAGCAGGTGATGCAGATTTCTATTATAGGGGCCAAAGCTGCCCCATTGAGCAAGGCCCTTATGACAAAACGTACGAGGGTAGAAGAGATGTTTTGAGAGAGAGAAATGTTGACTTGAGATTTCAGACTGGCAGCAAGAGCCCTGAAGTGCTCCGGGCATTTGATTTACCAGACACAGAAGCACAAGAGCATCCCGAGGTGGTACCCAGTGTAAGTCAGCGACTGTTTATTTTGCTGTCTCTTCATACTAGGCCTAAATGTTTCCTAGAGCTTTTGATAAGTTTTTAATCTTTCACCCTTCACTGTTAATTAAATTGTGAAAATGTAATTAATTTCTCTCTTCCCTTTTCTGGCCAAAAGTTAGTCCAGCTTCCTCATAAGAAACAAGATACAATTTATGTAAAATGTCATTTATGTTAGAACAAATGGTAATTCATATGAGTTTCATAGGAACCTGACAAATGACTTTTTTTTTTTTTTTTTGAGACAGTGGATTACTTTGAGTGCTGTGTCATCATCATAACTCATAGCAACCTCAAACTCTTTGGGCTTAAGCAATCCTCCTGCTTCAGCCTCCTGAGTAGCTGGGACTATAGGCACCAACCACAATGCCTGGCTAGTTTTTCTATTTTTAGGAGAAATGGGGTCTCATTCTTGCTCGAGATGGTCTCGAACTCCTGAGCTCAGGCAGTCCATCTGCCTCAGCCTCCCCAAGTGCTAGGATTAAAGGCATGAGCCATCGTGCTCTGCAGACAAATTTCTTTGACGAGGTTGAAGAGAAGATCCCACTGAAGGCCCAGAGCCCCAGGGAACTGGCAGTCGAGCCCTAAAGGCTTAGCTGGATGGAAGAGAGGGCTTGGGAGGGATTTTTTAAAAACCTTTTCTAAATCTTCTATATCATTGGCTGGCTAGTCTATACTTTTAATCTGCAGAATGGTTCATTTTTTACCCTTATTGGTCTTTTAAAGGGGCCTTTTTATTTTTGAGAGTGGACATTTGCAAAGTTCAAGTTGCGACTATAAATCTCTTAGAAACAGTTGTGAGCCTAATAGAATCTAGTAAATTGATCACTTCTGTGGTTTATCTTACAAGGGTATTAGTGAATCTTTCTGAGAATAGAATATGAACATTTTAACACAATAAGAAAATGACATGAAGGCTATGATAACCAGTTTGATGGAAATGTTTCAAATTGTATGTGAAAACACCACACTGTACCCTGGAAGTGCATTAATGTACAGTTACCATTCAATAAAAAAAAAAGAATCTAGTAAATTATAAAATTCCTTCCCATAGAATTCCTTATAAAAATAAACGTATCTACATGTATTTAAAAAATGTTAAGATACTCCTTTCAATCTTTATAGCTAATAGTTACCTGTCACTCATCCCAAAACTCTTTCAGTGACTTCCTATCTCACAGGGAAAGCCAGTTATCGCAGTAGCGATAGGGGACTCCTTGATCGGCCCTTTCCCACATACTGGTCATCTCCTATTCTCCCTCTGTGCTCACTCTGCTTCAGCTACAAGAGCTCCTTATAGTTCCTTGAACTTAGAGCCAATATATTTGCTGTTCACTCTAAGTAGAATACTCTTCAGCCGTATATCATATGGTTCCTTTCTTTAGGCCTTTAGTCCTGTCACCTTTTCAGACCAGCCTCATTTGAATTGCATTCCAACCTGCCTGCCCACACCACTTCTCTCTTCTCTGCCTTTTCTGCCTGGCCTTAACTCCATAGAGGGCATCATACTTTCTTAATTTGTTTGTTGCCCGATTCTCTCCCAAACCTAAGGGTAAGTTCTAGTGAGAGCAGTATTTTTGTTTGATTCCTGATATGTCCCTGGCACCCAGAACAGTTTTTGTTTTTTTTTTTTTTTTAAATGGAGCCTCAAGCTGTCCCCCTGGGTAGAGTGCCATGGCATCACAGCTCACAGCAACCTCCAACTCCTGGGCTCAAGCGAGTCTCCTGCCTCAGCCTCCCAAGTAGCTGGGACTACAGGCGCCCGCCACAATGCCCGGCCATTTTTTGGTTGCAGCCATCATTGTTTGGTGGGCCCGGGCTGGGGATGCGAACCCACCACCTTAGGTGTATGTGGCTGGCGCCTTAGCCGCTTGAGCCACAGGCGCCGAGCCACCCAGAACAGTTTTTTTTTAAACTTTATCTGGTGGCACACTTGAACCTATAGTTAAACTTCCCCAGCACATGAAAATCATGTTGCTTTTTTTAAAAAAGTACAATATATATACTTTGCTTTGAACTTTTTTCTTTTTTTTTTTTTTTTGAGAGAGAATTTCACTTTGTTGCCTCCAGTAGAGTGCTATGGCATCATAGCTCACAGCAACCTCAGCTCTTGGGTTCAAGTGATTCTCTTGCCTCAGCCTACTGAGTAGCTGGGACTATAGGTGCCTGCCACAACTCCAGGCTAGTTTTTCTATTTTTTAGTAGGGACAGGGACCTTACTCATGCTCAGGCTGGTCTCAAATTTCTGAGCTTAAGCAGTCCACCTGCCTCAGCCTCCCAGACTGCTAGAATTATAGGTGTGAGCCCCTGTGCCCAGCCTAGTCTTTCAATTTTTAGTAAGTGACAGGGTCTCGCTTCTGCTCAGGCTGGTCTTGAACTTCTGAGGTCAAGCAGTCCACCTGCCTCAGCCTCCCAGAGGGACAGTGTTACAGGTTGAGCCACTGAGCCTAGCCTGATCATCTTTTGAAAATAATTTAATCCAGCAGTTCTCAACCTGTGGATTGCGACCCACAGGAACTATATTAAAGGGCTGTGGTATTAGGAAAGTTGAGAACCACTGATTTAATCAATCTTTGAAAATTTTTGTAGCACACCTAAGATTCTCTCAGGGCATACTAGGTGGAAAGTACTAAACTAGAACGTAGTATGTGGTCAATAAATATTTGTCAAGTGAATTATTTTCACCAATCAAGAGGAGTTCTCAATACTGGTCACCAGTCCCTTTGACCCCTTCTACGCTGGGCCACTAAGACCACCTAGTATATCTGAAGTGTTCCCACTCCTCCAGCTACAGCTTTGTGAGGCTTAATAACATTCATGTATTTATAATTATAATCCAGCATTGGAACCAGGATTTCAAAGTTTGGAGCTAGCTGCAACTGACTTGGATAGGAACTTGTTAGATATGTTTGATTACTAAAACTTCACGTTATGTTAAATAGTTAAAATATAATTCTGTATTTTATAGCCTAAATTACCTATTTTGGACACAAAGACTAAAGAAATTGGTGAAATCCCAGGAGAAAGCACACCAACAGAAAGCAGTACTGAAAGTAGCCAGTCTGCTAAGCTTGTCTCTTGCCAAGAAGTATCAGGGAATGTGGAAGAGTCACCTTCGGTGGAAAAGGCCCAGCTCCAGACTGAAGCCAAAGGAGGCACACACAGCCCAGCAAGAACTGCTGCAGGGGCATGTGGAAAGGATCCAGCCGGCAGCCCGTGTGGCTAGAGGAACATGCACAATAGCTCTGAAGTCTTTGGGTTTTGTAAAGTATTCTCTTAACAATTCTATTCACTCTTCTTAAAAGAATATTCTGGTATTTACTACAAAGGTGCCAACTTAAATAATATTTTTACTGATAATCAGAATTAAATGCATGTTATGAAAGCTTTTAATTCCATCTTTGATATATACATTCTATAATGTTTTAAAGTGTTAATTTTAGAACAAGGTCTCATAGTATTTATACTTTAAGATGAACATGGCAAGCTTCACTGATTCTAGATAGTTGAGGCTGGTTTGAATTAGGGGACTTTGAAAAAATTTATTGTTTGTAGGAATTTGTAGGAAAGTTTCTGTTGCCCAGTGGAAGTCCTACGTTAGTTAACAGAATAATTTGTTCTGCATTGGATTCAAAGTGTTTCCAATGTGATAGGTACTCAAAAACTACTTAGAGGAATCTATTATTAAGTTCATTTTCTTTGTGCACTCCAGCAGCTTAGTGCAGCCACGGAGTATACTTGACCAGCATCGCTAGGACAGATACCTCAGTTTATTTCTCTTTAGGCCACCCACAGGTAAATGGGCCTTTCTAGTTTCATCTCTTCTGCAACTGTCACTGGGTCTGCTTCATTATTGTCCCTTTTACTTTGTTTCACTAAGATAGAACTAAAGATTGCTAGAGGACTTTATACCTTGTAGCTTGTTATATCAGTAATCTCAATTTTACAGTCGGTAGACTTTGAGAATGGTTTTATTCTTTTCTCCACCAAATGAAGTGCACAGGCTTTTATAAGACCTGTTTTTCTTGTTCATAATCCTAGTAGTTGAGACTATTAGATATTACCATATTTTATTTATATTATAGCAAACCATATTGTCTTGGCCATATGAAGTTCTAAATTTGAGAGAGCTATACATAGAAAAGAATACTACCACCATGGTAATGCAGACAAGTCATCAACATTTTTTTAATCAGTCTTTCCAATTTTAAAAAGCATTCCTCACTTTAAACATTTTAAAAAGGAATTTATAAATTTTGCACGTGTCCCTGGCTAGCAGATTTCATGTATATCACGTGTCCATATTCAGCTGCTTACTAAAATGATACCAGTCAGGAATAAATCCTTAAAATTTTCATGTAGGCATTTGTTTGGGAAAACATACTCAAAGTATTTGCATTTTGCTTTTTAAAAAAGTGAAGTGGGGCGTGCTGCGGAGGAACGGCTGTTGACTTGCGGTGGCTTCAGGGCCTCCGCTGGTCTGGGGCTGCGGTGTTGTGCTTCATGACTATCAAGAACAAGTATGCCACGACTAAGCATGCTAAGATCAGCACTGTAGCACAGCTGAATTCTGCATTAGTTCACGATTTAGCCAAGGCTGTGGCAAAGGTGTAACTTGTAACCTTGAGTACTATATCTGCAAATAAAATTGGCACCATGTGCCATCTGTACAAAAAAAAAAAAAAAAAAAAAGACAATTAGAATATCCATTTTTGGTTCACAGAAGTATTACTTAGGTGCCTATAAATACTACAAACATCTTTAGTATCTCATCAGAAAGGTAATCATTTTTTCAAGAAGGACAAGGATTTTAATTTTTTTTTTTTTTATTTAAGAAACAGATTCTCACTTTATCACCCTCAGTAGAGTGCTATGCCATCACAGCTCACAGCAACTTCCAGCTCTTGGGCTTAGCCAATTCTCCTGCCTCAACCTCCCAAGTAACTGGGACTACAGGCGCCCGCCACAACACCCGGCTATTTTTGTTGTTGCAGTTTGGCCACGGCCGGGTTTGAACCCACCACCCTTGGTATATGGGGCTGGCGCCCTACTCACTGAGCCACAGGTGCCACCCGATATTAAGATTTTTTTAACACAGCAGGCATGCAACAAGTGAGTTATTGACATGTCTGCAATTTAGATTTGGGAACATTGATGCATATAATATAGTAGTCCTCTCTTGGGACTAGACCTGTTCACACTGATTTGTGAATATGCTCCAAGGTAGGCATTGTCCTGAGCTGTGATCTGATTCTGAAAAGAAACACATGCCTCAGGTGATAGACTGTACTGTGAGAGTAGAATTAATGTGGCTTACACTCCTGACTGCTATTAATCCAAAAATGAAAATTTAAATTTTCATCTTTGTATTCTTTCATTACAGATATCCATTTGGGGATGAAATCTACTTTGACAGCTAGCAAGGCAACATTCTGCTGCTGTTGAATGATGACAGCAATTCAGGGAAGACTTTATGAAAGAAAATTGAACATACCAGGGCCAGATTATTACCAGAAAAGAGATAAGGCTTGTTTATTAACTAGCCAGTCTTTGTCATTAAAATTAAGGCTTGTAGGGAGAAGCTTTTAGGAAAATGGGCAAGTGTAAAACAGGGATAGACAGCTGTTAAAAGCAGGTTTTAAATGGAATAGGTAATGTTGAATGTTTACAGGGAACCACTGTATACACAAAATAAACATTATTGTAATTTGGTACGCTGCCTTTGCTTGTTGAATTTTATTAACTATCATGAAACTTAATCTGCAGTTTTTTAAATGATGCTATTTGGGACATTATATATAATATATGTATATTCATATATATATAATAACATATATATGACACATAATGTAATCCAGGTTTTTGATACTTTACTTTTTAACTTAATGCTTTGATCTTAAAACCAAGAATAATGTTTTTGGTTTTTTGCTAAGCCCTTAGTTGTAATTCTAAACTGTTTCTCTCACATTGGCCATTTTGAGAAGTAGTTCTCACTAACCATCAAAATCACCTAAATGGCTTTTCTGAAGGACCAGGGCCCAAATTGCCTCCCAACTGTGCTGAATTAGAAGCAACCAGACTTTCAAAGAGTTGCCAGCCTATTCTAGGCATGGGCATTTGCATTGTGTGGGTATTTTTTTTTTTTTTTTTTTTTTTGAGACAGTCTCAGGCCGTCACCCTGGGTGGAGTGCCATGGAGTCATCATAGCTCAGAGCAACCTCCATCCAACTCCTGGGCTCAAGCGATCCTCTTGCCTCAGTTTTTCTATTAGAGACAGGAGTCTTGCTCTGGCTTAGGCTGGTTTTGAACTCGTGAGCTCAAGCAGTCCACCTGCCTCAGCCTCCTAGAGGGCTAGATTACAAGTGTGAGCCACTGCACCTGGCCCATTGTGTGATTCTTAATCCAGGCCTTGGTCTGTCCCATCCTTGTCCTTTGGTACTTTATCATCATTTCCTGTCATCCCTTTGTAAACTGGAATACGGAAGGCAAAGCTTAATGACAACTAAGGTCCTAACCAACATCTTTCATACTTAATTTTTGTGAGTTTTTATCTGTTTTCTATTTATGCGGCCTGAGTTCTTGATATAACCACATGGATTTTTCTATGTGGGGTTAAATTAGGTCTTACAAAATTTTGTTTTATAGTAGTATTGAGCAACACAAGAGATAGTTCTAAACCATAATTTTTTAAACGAATAGTCCAAAACACGCTAAAAGAAGTTTATTTCTTAAGAGTTTCTTTTATACTGGCTTTGGCCTAAAAATATATTGAAAATATATTTTCAGAGAGAAAAATGTAAATTTTTAGTAAGACTAACGTTTTTACATTGGTCAAGTACATTATTTTTGCTAAACAGCATAATTTCCCATCATATTCATTGTTAAGTATAAAAACAGCCATTGTCAATTAAGATATTTAAAAAAATACCTCAGCAAGAGGATTAAATGCTGCTTTAGGAGTCATTTAATTTCCTACTTTACAAACACTAGGTAAAGGAATCTAGCAAGTTGCCAAAGCACACCCCAAGCAGTAATCACAGAAGATGATGAAGCACCTTGCGGACACCTCTACCCTGAAACAAGTGAGTGTCCCGAGAAATGTTAAATTCTTTAATACTGTACTACTGAAAGGTAAATATTTACATCATTCTAAAAATAAGCTGTATTGTAGTGCTATAAGTTCTCCTTGTAAGGAAAAAAGTAATAGATTGAGTTTCCCTGTAGTTTCTGAAAGGAAATAAGGTCTTAAAAATATCCACAGTGGTTGGGATCAGTACCTCATGCCTATTATCCCAGCACTTAGGGAGGCTGAGGTAGGAGGATTGCTTGAGGCCAGGAGTTGGAGACCAGCCTAGGCAACGTAGCAACACCCCCTCTCTGTAAAAAAAAGAAAATTAGCTGGGTGTAGTACCGTGCACTTAAAGTCCTAGCTACTCAGAAAGCTGAGGCAGGAAGATCTCATGAATCTAGGCGTCTGAGGCCACAGTGAACTGTGACTATACTACTGTACTCTAGCCTGAGAGACAGTAAGATTTCTTCTCCCCCCCCAAAAAAAAATTATCCATAGTTAACTAGTGGTTTGCTGGGGTTTTTCCTGAATTTTTAAACTCCAGCAAAGCATTGCTTTGCAAAAGGTCCTTTAGCCCAAACGCAGTGTCTGTGTTTTGATCTCTTTGTAAAAGAACTCTCTGCTCATCCATTCTTTTCGCCTGAGAGCGTAAAATAAGGCTAAAAAAGTCTTCATCCGGTACCGTTGGACCCTTTGTGGCAGCAGGTGGTGGAGCACATCTTTGATCATCTAATCTGGATCCCTAAAAAATTATGAGAAAGAGATTAAAATACAAATGCCATAGGGAAGGGAAGCACCAAGAGGTATCTGTCAGTTGTAACAAGAAAAATAGAGTTATAAAATATTTTTTGCCTCTTCTCAGAAATTTACTTGATCTCTAGACCTTAAATCTAGTATGATTTTTCTTTATAAATGACTTAGCTATAATTTCAAGAGCTTAGTAAGTGTATTAATATTGTCATACTATTTTAATTATAATTGGTCACATGGGATAATCTGGGATATATTAAAATACAAAGTCAGTGTATCAGTTATGATAATTCAAGGTTATAATCTTACCACAACAGGAGTCAACTAAATCTTTTTTTTTGACTCTTTGAGACAAGAGTCACTTTGTCGCCCTCAGTAGTATGCCATCGTGTCACAGCTCACAGCAACTTTCAGCTCCTGGGCTTAGGTGATTCTTTTGCCTTAGCCTCCCGAGTAGCTGGGACTATAGCCGCCAGCTACAATGCCCAGCTGTTTTTGTTGCAGTTTGGCCAGGGCCGGGTTCAAACCCGCCACCCTCAGTACATGGGGCCAGCGCCCTACCCACTGAGCCATAGGCGCTGCCTGCATCAACTAAATCTTAATGTTATGTTCAAAAACCCTGAAGTGCTACCTTAAAAAATCCTGTCTTAGGCCAGGGAACAACAAACTATATAACCTAATGGCTGCTTTTGTAAATGAAGTTTCATTTCACCATGGAAACATCTGTGTATGTACCCTCTGTGTGGCTGCTTTCCTACTTCAATTGAAGGATTGAGCAGTTGCAACAGAGATGATACGGCCTGCATAAGCCTAAATGTTTTCCATCAGGCTCTTTACAGGAAAACCTCTGTCTTAGGCAGTTAAATCTATTAGAGATAGAGCCTACACTGAATTTTTCTTCCAAATTCCAATATTAGAAGTGCATTAGAAATGTTAGGCTCGGCGCCTATAGCTCAGCCAGCTAGGGCGCCAGCCACGTGCACCTAAGGTGGCGGGTTCGAATCCCCAGCCCGGACCCGCCAAAACAACGATGACGGCTGCAACCAAAAATGGCCGGGCGTTGTGGCGGGCACCTGTGGTCCCAGCTGCTTGGGAGGCGGAGGCAGGAGACTCGCTGGAACCCAGGAGTTGGAGGTTGCTGTGAGCTGTAGTGCCACGGCACTCTACCCAGGGGGACAGCTTGAGGCTCTGTCTCAAAAAAAAAAAAAAAAAAAAATATAAACAAAGAAATGTTATTAATCAGATAAAAAGTACAAAGACGTCTACAGTAGTTTCATATAGTAGAAACATGATGGCTGATACCTGAGTACGCACCGCACTGCTAGGGAGTGTGCCAAGCATATATATACCTTAAGTAACATTTAACTCCACAACCCCATGAGGGTGCAGTTGTTCTCTGCCACCTCCACCCTCCACCCTCCACACACACCTGGCTCACTCTTCATTTCTCTTGTCATAACAGATAATGTCAGTGTCTTCCAGTTAACCTAACACTTAAGTATTTGGGTCCTAGACTGCCTCTGGTGTGTGTGCTTATCCTTCACTTCTGCCTTACCCATTTGGTTCCCCTGGTTATATGAGTCTCATTGTCTTGTTTGGAGAAATGTCTACTGTGGTTCTTTGCCTATTTTAAAAAATTAGATTGATTTTTGTTGAGTTTTAGTAGTTCTCTATATACTCTAAATATTCCTTATCAGATGATATAATTTCCAAGTATTTTCTTTTTTACTATTGATAATGTCCCTTGATGCACAAGTTTTTAATTTTGATGAAGTCCAATTTGTCTTTTTTTGTTGTTTTCCTGTGCTTTTGGTTTCATAACCAAGAAATCGTTGCCAAACTCAATGCTATGA